CAGAGAGTACAGATCAACTGCACAAGGTAGCCAAAAGATTAACATCCATCCTCTGCATTTGACAGTGCTTGGAAGTTCCTACGGAGTACAGGCCATCCAAAACTCTGAAACTCTGGAGGTTGTGGAAGCCATACTATCAAAACACAAGGTTAGTTGGCCCTTGCACCATACTCCTTCCATCACCATTTAAGTTACACAATAACATATAAAGCATGTTTTTGATTTTCAAAGGGTTATGAACCAAACAAAACAGGAAACATAGCATGGAAATAAAAGAGACCTAGCAAGAAAAAACAAAGCCAAGGCAGACCTCAATCCATGGCTTTGAACCACTACTTATCTCATTGCTGATTGCTCCACAGTGATTTGTTGGGCAACTGCAAACCATAAACTTTGAAAATCTCTACATTATGATTTCCCTAGATGGTCAGTATCATTAAGTCAATCTGACACATGGTTTAGCCAAAAAGTTCCCTCTGGTCACCACACGCCATACAGTTTGGCCAAGTAAATCCATTACTATTATGCTTATGGCAGCACAATTCACAAAATTAAAGTAAGACATGCAACTGATTATAGTCTTATGTGAAACTAGTGGCTATGCAAGGGTTAGTAAATGTTGAGGTAAAAGCTGAGTAACAAACACTAAAATTATAGTAAAATTTGAATTGAAAAAACAAAAGAACTTCCATAATCCTCTATTCCACCTAAAGGCTTCCCATTGATTTTTTTTTTTGGGCTACCGTTAGCTCCACTAAGATTAGAATTTACTTTTACAATTTTTAATAGTTAGATTGATATAAATAACCCTAAAATTGACCCTTCAATTAAGTCATTTGTTTAATTAAAGCCTCTTCATTAACTCTTATCTTAAAAAGTTTCTCAAAGTTAATTTAGTATCAAATAAGTACCCATACTGCACAATCATCGCAACGCAAGGCAAAAACTCAAGAGAAAGAGTCACAGGCATGAAATGAACACCTAGAAATAATTCCTTTTTGTTGATATTGTGATGCTAAGTTGGCTCCCTTATTTAATGTGTTGCATAATCCATTCAAGGTAACTGGCCAAAAAGACATTTGAATTATCGAACTTTTCTATTTACTTGACAGTAAAAATTAGCGTAAGAAGCTACTCTTTAGGCAGACCAACTTAAAAGTGAAGCCAGAGCAAGCACCAACCAAAACAGTATCACAAATATACAGAATGAGTATACTCGCCAAAATTCTCCAAAGTGCTCCAAGCAAGTACTCATCATCATTGCTCAGATTATTTATGATTCCCAAAGCTAAACACCAAAATGAAAACACTTCACAGAGTTTTTAATATTTAATAATCAAAGTAAAGTTTTAGCTGAGACATACATATACCTATTTCGTAGGAATGATATTTCTGATAATTGGAAATAAGAGTGCAGTACTCAGAGAAGGGACAACATTCCAAACTGGAATTGACACAAAAGCAGTTGGTGCCAAAAAAAAAAAAGAAAAAAAAAAAGAGGAAAATTAACTAATCAGTAGACAAGATTACATACCACAAACAATGAACTTACTCTCCAAAATTGTACAGACTCACAAAATGGGGGAAATGAAAAAGCACATTCATTTTGGATGAATTTTTGCCTTCAAATACTACTTAATTATTAGAAGATTAAGGAATGCACAAATGGCACCTAGAAGAACAAACTTTTACCATCGTAATTCTCAGACAAATTAGTTTTATTGTAAGACCACACTCAATTGCAAATACCATGCTCAGATATTTATAGGCCATAATTCCCAATTAAAGACGCATAAAAGATCTACCAAGTATACTAGAATAACCTTTGATCAAGAAAATTTCCCTTCTTCAAGGTCAAGTGGCCTCAACATAAAGACTCATATACACACAAAGAAACACCTAACAGACTCATAAACGTTAACAGGTAAATAAATGGTCTAAAACTCACAATAATGGTATTATGAAACCCCAAAGAGGTGTTCTGCAATATCTCACATAATTTTTTTTTTTAAAGCAAAAGTAAATTACCAAAACCATATACAAATAAGCAGTCTAGAAAAACAATGCTATAAATTTAAATATACCTGAAAATGTTTGAAAAATGAGAAAATTTTGACATCTTTCCTTTTACCTTTTAACTTCTGGGATGCGTATGCGTTTCTAACTTGCATTTCCCTGCATCTTGCAACACAACACGGATGATTATACGAGCTGTATCGCAAGATGCAGAGGAAAAACAAGTAAGAGATAACCCCCATCTCCGCCACGCCATGGCAGCGGCGTAATCAGTGCGCTGATAATTTTTCTTTTTCGAAAAAGCATGAAACCCTGTTCTTCATGGCAGAAGAAATGAAACCCAAGTTTAATTCTACTCCATACTCACAACCAAAACCGAGAAAAGGACACAATTTTTCTCACCTGTCGAACAATCATTCAAACGAACTCTTTCGAGAACCCAGAAGCCAGAGGAAAGAAAGAAATCTAACCCAGTCTCCAACAAGCAAAATCTGTTATAGGCGGAATCAAGAAAATTGCAATTAACGATTTATAAAGATGAGAAAGAAAGTCGAACGAGAAGAAGCCGATGACTATGGATTGACTAGCAGAATGACTGATCTGGGTATCTGTTCCCGAACATGAGGAGGAGGAGGAGGAGGAATAGATAAGGTTTGTGTTTTTCCGGACAAAAAATAGAGCTTGTGTTTTATTAACGGGCTAAAAGAATAGTTCGGCCTCTTTGAATTTTGGATTGGGCTTTCTCTTTTCTATTTGGTTAGGTCAATTGGTTTAAACTTAACATCTTTGAGCTAGATCACCTTCTAAGGTTCTATCTCCTGCCCATATCCTTTTGTGGTATAAGTGCAACTTTATTGAGGATATTTTTATTGACCAAAAAAATATTGTATAAGAAGTTAAAAAAATATTGTAGATAAATTTTGTAATAAAATTAATCAACATTTTCATATTTGATAAGAAGTTGATATTGAAAAGTTGCAAAAAAAGGTTGTGAAGGGTCTCATATTGGAACAATTAGAGTGAAACACTTTCATTTCAAAATTTATGAGAAGGAAAGTTTATTTATTAAAAATTGGCGTCAAGAAAAGTTAAGGTTAAAAATGCTCTTGTTACCCTTCTTCTTTCTTCTTCTTCTCTTCTTCTTTTTTTTTTTTTTTTTTTTGAACAGGGTTACAAATTTGGGGGTGGGGGGATTCGAACCCCAACCCGAGAGCTTGGGGGATGCACCTTACAAGCCCGGCCTATGATTGTTGAGCCGTGAGGCCCAGGTGCTATTACCCTTATTTTGTTGTTGCGTTAAAATATAAAAATATCAAAATAACCCTAAAGAATCTAAAGAGAAGTTTCTTAATTAACCAAACGCACCCCAAGCTTTTGTGCATCAAAAATCCTAACAAGACATGACAAATAGATGAGTTATGTTTCGTTCGTCACGGATTATAAATCAAATAGGTTGGATCAAATAGTTTCTTAGTTAGAGAAAGTAACTCGTGACCCACTGATTGTATTATATTGTGGGTTGCTAACTTAACCCCTACATAAATTATGCACTAAATAAATTAAGTAAAACGTGTTTACATGCCAAGAATTTTTAAGTACCACTTAATTTCAATGAACAAGTTGGGTTAGAATTATTGATAAAATCAACTTTTGTCATTTTTAGGGCATCAATATTTTATGTTTGTATTAATGATTTATTAATTCGAGTAAAAAAATTTTAATTTTTTCTTAAATAGTTTCAAATTCTTAAATCAATACAATTCAATTCTAAATTAATTCAGATTCAATATAACCCTCGATGTCAGGAGGTTAATAAAACAAACATTATGCTTGTTAGAGTGCTTGGCAGTTGGCTCCATTCCTAAATCAACTATTTTACCAAATTTCTTTGTTAGACCAAAAAGGTTTTTATTAAATTACTTCTGATCTTCCTAAATGTTTCCCCTTCTATATAAAAACTATATTATAGAAACTATATAATATTGTGGCAATCAGAGTCATTTTTTGGTAAATTAATTTGTATGGTGATGTAACAATATAAAATTTAGAGTACAACAAATATAACCCGTACGAAGCATACACCTTCCCTTAATCACATATCTGAGTTCGTCTTTTTTCATTTTTTAATCTCCTGGCAGGAAGAAGTACTATGAGTCTTGAAAGCCTTCCTGCATCAAAAAGCATTGCAAGCAACATCTTCTATTGGATATATAAACTTCGACACCCAAAAGGGTGCACCCTTACAGATAATGTTTTAGACATGGGGTAGGACATGACCATTAGATACGAGAAAAAGATAATCAAAGAAGTTCAAACAAACAGATTTAGTGTACAAAGTTAGGAGAATACTTCACTATGTGAATATCAAAGCACAAACATCTAGAATTTTATTTTATTTTTTGTTACCGTATCTTTCTATAGAAGCTCCCCAAGTTCACCAAATCTTATATCAAAACCCATAAACCATATAATTCTACTGCCATCAGGATCACAATGGCAGATGATTGAAATGTAGCAGCCATCGTCATGTAATCTCTATAGCATAATCAAAGTGCAGCAAAGCAAAGTCTAGTTAGCTCCTTGATGTATCAGAGAAGTTGATACTCCTGCCTGCATGACCAATGGTAAAACTGCATTCAAATGATCGAACTTTTCTATTGAGCTGATAACATAAACTAATTTGTAAACTAAGCTATCATTTTAAGTACTTCACCTACCTACCATTGAAGATGCTGCCACCTACGACAAAATCTTGAACCTCTAGCACAAAATTGCTCATCCTAAGTACATGATATATGAAAACAAGAAAGCACTAATCAGACAGATTGTTTATTTATGATTCTCAAAGCCAAACTACAAGGCACACAACAACAACATTTCTTGAGGCTTTGTAGTGACATACCTTAACTATCTGTCTGAAAGAATGTGGTTTACGCTAATTGGAAATGAGGCTGTGATACTCAAGTAAGGGACTGTCTACTGACAACTGAAGTCTCCACAACCGCAGCTGGAGCTGAAGAAATAGAAATTAATATCAAATAATCAGCGGAGATGATAACAAGCAAACAACAATGAACTTTATAATAAACTGTAAAAGTCACAAGTCGAGGAAATAACAAAAGCAAATTCATTTTAGATGAATTTTAAGTTGAGAATTACTTGTACAGTAACAGACCTTCATCGAAGTCCATAAGCTACTTTGCATTTGCTATTCTCCTTAATTTACTTCCAAAAGACCTTGTGGCTTAATGAATGAGATACTGAACATTGAACACTAACAATAAACAAAATTAATTCTCAAACAAATAAAATGTATTGATGGTACTCAGTTGGAAAGACAATCTATGCTCAAATGTAAAGCAATAATGCTTAAATAAGACTTTTAAATGATCTAGAAGGCATAAATGATACATTTTTGCTTTGCCAAGTGACTTCCTCAGGAAAAGAATATAATCTATTACCACTTAAGGTTCCATGCCCGCACACGAAAAAAGAAATATATTAGTGGGAAAAAAAGTATTAGATGTACTGATCATGAAAGTTACAGTGGAAAATATAAGATGGGGAAAGTTATTTAAGAACAGAAAATTGATAATAGATAGTCCCCCCAAGTATGAAAGTAGCAGTTAATTAGGAGACCTAATGCTCAATGGTATTAATTGTCTTATAAGAACATATTTTGCAATGTAAATGATCAAATGC